TCCTCCTCCTCCTCCTCCTCTTCCCCCTCCGCCTCCGCCTCCGCCACCGCCGCCGCGTACGCCACCGCCGCGTCGACCGCCGACCCGAAGGAGCCGAGGGAGTGCGTCTTTCCGTCCACCGTGCGCTGCGCCTCGAAACGGCCACTGTCGCCGTGCTGGTACACCTTTAGGGTGGGTTCGGGTACCGTGGGGTAGGGGAGGGTGGGTTCGGGTACCGTGGGGTAGGGGAGGGTGGGTTCTCGGGTACCGTGGGGTGGGGTAGGGTGGGTTCGGGTACCGTGGGGTAGGGTAGGGTGGGTGCTAGTACACCTTTGCAAAGCCAGGAGGTGTCTAGGAGGTGTCTAGGAGGTGTCTAGGAAGTGTCTAGGAAGTTGCTGGCACACCTTTGCAAAGCCCGTCTTGCTGCGGGTCGAGAGGTGCAGGCGCAGCCCCTGAGCGTCGCCGAGCAGCGCCTGCGGCCGCGACCACGCCGATCGGCGCGTGGCATCTCGGCATCTCGGCGGCATCTCGGCGGCATCTCGGCGGCATCTCGGCGGCATCTTAGCCGCATCTTCGCCGCATCTTCGCCGCATCTTCGCCGCATCTTTCGCCGCATCTTTCGCCGCATCACGGCCGCATCTCGGGGCGCATCTCGCAAGCGTGCCTGGCCGCGCGCCGTCAGCGCGTAGAACGCCTTGCCCTCGCTCGCCCTTGCCTTGGTCTCCCCGGCCGGCTCGAAGAAGGCACCCTCGACCCTGCCCTCGCGCGAGAGCGCCGTCACGATGGAGTGCCTGGGGAGAGATGGGGAGAGAGATGCGGAGAGATGGGGAGAGAGGGGACACACCGCGTGCCTTGAGCCCCCGTGTGAGTTCCCCGGGTGCGCGACAACAACATGTACATGTACATGTGCATGTCATGTGCATGTGCGTGTGCGTGTTTTGTGTGGCCCCCTCTCCCCGGGCCCCGCCGGTGCTTTCGCTCTGCCCTTCTACGGCCGAGCGCCGGCTGATGTCGATGGCGTGCGCCTCCGTCGCCTGCAGAGAGGCGAGGGCGTGTGACGGAGTGCTTGTGTGAGAGCACGTGCTTGTGACCAGGCATGATGGAGGGCACTTGTGACCAGGCATGATGGAGGGCACTTGTGACGAGGCATGATGGTGGAGGGCACTTGTGACGAGGCATGATGGAGGGCACTCGTGACGAGGCATGATGGAGGGCACTTGTGACGAGGCATGATGATGGAGGGCACTTGTGACGGGGCATGATGATGGAGGGCACTTGTGACGAGGCATGATGGAGGGCACTTGTGACGAGGCATGATGGTGGAGGGCACTTGTGACGAGGCATGATGGAGGGCACTTGTGACGAGGCATGATGATGGAGGGCACTTGTGACGAGGCATGGTGGAGGGCACTTGTGACGAGGCATGATGGAGGGCACTTGTGACGAGGCATGATGATGGAGGGCACTTGTGACGAGGCATGATGGAGGGCACTTGTGACGAGGCATGATGATGGAGGGCACTTGTGACGAGGCATGATGATGGAGGGCGAGTGGCAGTCGCTGGTGCGGACACGTGTGCTGAGCCGTGTGTGTGCTCCCCGTCTTGCTTGCCACTACTGGGGAACCAAGAACTGCGCTTCCGTCGCCTGCGTCACGTACTCGACGATCTCGACGATCTCCCTCCATATCTCCCCGTATCTCCCCATCTCTCCCCATCTCTCGCCTGCGTCACGTACTCGACGATCTCGGCGCGCGACGTCTTCCCGCCAAGCAGCGCCTGTGGCACGGGGGGGGGGGGGTACCTGGCGCCTCGAGAGTCTCGCCGAGATTCGCCGAGATCAGCGGTACCTGAGATTCGCCGAGATCGGAGCCGAGATTCGCCGAGATCGGAGCCGAGATTCGCCGAGATCGGAGCCGAGATTCGCCGAGAGACCGCCTGCAGGATGCGGTACCGCACCGAGCCCAGCCGCGGGAGCTGCCCCTCCGCCCCGCCCGCCCCCGCCCCCGCCCCCACCTCCGCCCCCACCTCCGCCCCCGCCTCCGCCCCGCCAGCCCCGCCCGCCCCGCCCGCCCCGCCCGCCTCGCCCGCCTCGCCCGCCAGCACGTGGTGCAACTCGCTGAGAGGGACCGACTTGTCCTCGTCGCCTATACGTGTCTCAGCAACCCACAGCCGCGTCACGTGGTACGTCGTCCTCAGAGAGAGAGCGCGCCGCCGTGTCCGCGTCGCCGTCGTCAAAGAGCACCGTGAAGGACGGCTCGCCTGCGAGGTAGGGGGAGATAGGGGGGAGATTGGGGGAGATAGGGGGAGATTGTCCGTGAAGGACGGCTCGCCTGGGGTGGTGACTCATCGGAATAAGTTACTACTACAGCTCATAACAATCATAACTGTGAAGGGCGGCTCGCCTGGTTGCTGCATCACAACCATTCACACTAGCAGCTCATAACAATCAGACTTGTGAAGCGCGGCTCGCGTGTGTGGTGGTGAGCACGCCAACTCCTCAGGGCGGGGGGACGGTCTTGTGCAGTGTCCTCAGAGCACCGCGTGGAGACGAGGGGGGAGGCGACTGCGATGACTACGGCCGAGAGTACGGCGGAGCACAGCGGGACACGCGTCCCCTCTCGAGCGCTGGTTGGAGCGCAAGAATGCGCTCTCTTCTTCTTCTACGAGCCTGTCTGCGGTAAGAGAGAGTTGCGCCCCCCGTTCAATTCTTCTACGGACGAGTCTCGCCCGCCCCCATCAGCAGTGGGAGATAGGGGGAGATAGGGGGAGATATGGCGAGATTGTCCGGGCTCGCCCCCCATCAGCAGTGGGAGAGAGGGGGAGATCGGGGGAGATATGGCGAGATTGTCCGGGCTCGCCCCCCATCAGCAGCCGGCCGTGCGCGGCGGTGACCCGCCCCTTGTACCAGCGCCGCGCGTCCGAAAAGTAAACCAGCGCCCTCGCCCCCACCCTCGCCTCCGCAGCCTACGCGCTGGAATGCGGCGTGAGGGCGGGGGGGGGGGCGCGGTACGGTGTACACTAGACACTTGTGCGGCGTGTTGCGAGCAGCGCGTGTGTGCGAGGAGGGGGGCGACTGCAGTGAGAATACAGAGATATATATACGGGAGAGACGGCCGAGAGGACACAGCGGAGTGCGTGTCTCGAGAGCGCTGGCGCTGGGGTGCGGAGGAGTCTCGCGTCTATGGCCGCGAGGCACTGGGGAGAGACGGGGAGATACGGGGAGAGATTCCGCTTCTATGGCCCCCAGCGGTCAGCGGCGGGCCGGGGACCGGCCCGAGCCTTGTCTGGAGAGGGAGGGGGGGGGGGGGTTTGGTTTCATTATTCATTGGGGCTGTAAACCTAAATCAGTTGAGGAGAGGGGGGGGGAGGGGGGGAAGAGTGAGAAAGGATGTGACAGTGTGAGCAGATGTTGCGAGGTCCTTCGGCCAGGGGGGAGGGGAGGGGGGGGAGAAGGGGGGGAGGGGGGGAGAACACAGGGTCCCCGCCAGATGCCATCACCTGGGGCGTATCCTGGGGCGTATGGCACGTCTTCGCGCCTCGCTGTACCGCCCCCCCCCCTGTGTTTCCCGGGCTAGGGGAGGGGAGGGGAGCATCGGCGCGCCTCTCCGTCGCGCCCCTCCGAGGCGGCGGCCGCGGCGCGTGAGTAAAAGACGGCGCCGGCGGGGTCGACGTACCTGGTGGTAAGGCACGAGGGAGGGCAAGAGGGGGGGCAAGGCAAGGGGTAAGGCAAGGTAGGGCAAGGTAAGGGGTAAGGCAAGGTGGGGCAAGGTGGGGCAAGGCAAGGGGCAAGGCAAGGGGTAAGGCAAGAGGTAGGGCAAGGTAGGGCAAGGCAAGGCAAGGTTGGGCAAGGTTGGGCAGGTAGGGAAGGTGGGGAAGGTGGGGAAGGTGGGGAAGGTGGGGAAGGTTCACGTCTCCACACACACGAGGTGGTGGGGCAAGGGCCAGGCTAGTCCCTCGCGACTCCACGTCTAGGAGACAGGAGCGGGCATGTGTGGCATTCAAAGTGCAAGGCCCGGTGCGCGTGGGTGAGCGGTGTGTGCGTGTGTGAGTGTGTGAGCGTGTGTGTGTGTGTGTGTGCGTGTGCGTGTGTGCGTGCGTGCGTGCGTGCGTGCGTGTGCGTGCGTGTGCGTGCGTGTGCGTGCGTGCGTGCGTGTGTGTGTGTGTGTGTGTGTGTGTGTGTGTGTGTGTGTGTGTGTGTGTGCGTGTGTGTGTGTGTGTGTGTGTGTGTGTGTGTGCGTGCGTGCGTGCGTGCGTGTGTGTGTGTGTGTGTGTGTGTGTGTGTGTGCGTGTGCGTGCGTGCGTGCGTGTGCGTGTGCGTGCGTGCGTGTGCGTGTGCGTGTGTGTACGTGCGTGCGCACGTGTGCGAGCGTGTGCGTGTGCGTGCGTGTGTGTGTGTGAGCCTCCAGTGGCCCTCCCGTTTAGTCGTCTCGTCCTTAGTCCGGATGCGCCACCCAGCCGCACTGGCGCCCGCCCAGAGGCGCCGGTCGGTCGTCCTCGCATCGCACTCCAGCGGGCCGGGGGCCCCCGGCCCCGCCCCCGGCCCCGGCCCCCTCTCGGCGGAGGGCGGCGAGACCCCCCCGCCCCGCCCTGCTCCTCCCGCGCCTCGTTCCGCGCCCGGCTCGGACCGCGGCTCGGACAGCATGGCGCGCAGGAGCGCCGTCTCGCTGACGACGCCCTCGCCGAGTCGATCGCCGGCCGGCTCGTCGTCCGCCCGGGCGGCCGCGTGCAGCACGGCCGGCGGGGGGGCGGGCTCCGCCACGAACCGCTCCGGCCCGCGCCCCTGCGTGCCGCGCACTTTTGGCGCGGCGACAAGCGCGCGGCCCTTTGAGACGGTGCACTCCACCTCCGGCTCCGGCGGCGGGGACGGTCGCCACGCGCCGGCGGCCTCGTCGCCCGGGCACCAGTACCTCGGCGGGTCCTCGTTGCTGCACCAGGTGCCGACGAGGGCATCGTACGAGACCCGTGCGGTGTCGGTGGGCGGAAGCGGCGGCGAACCGGGGAGGAAAGCGCCAGACCCTTTGCCCGGAGGGCAGCGAAAGTCGGAGGAGTGCGGGCCGAGGTGGTTGTCCTCGAGCACGCAGCCCGGCGTGCCGCACATGCGCGGCCGCTTCTTCGGGCCCCTCGCCTGCATCTGGTGACAGCCGTCTTATCAGGTTGACGCCTATCAAGAAGCGCCGCGCAAGAGAGAAACGCGGCGTGCTCGAGTATGAGTTCTCGACCGCGACCGGCTGCAAATGCTCGCCTCACAGTCCAGGATGGCGACTCGCGCCCCCAACCGTGCACCAGCGCGCCTCTCTAGTCCCGCCTGCCACCCAGATACCGACCGAGGGAAGGGCGCACTCTTCGACTTGGGCTATTATCTGGCCTCGGGAGGGCGGCGGCGGCGGTGCACTCGAACAAAACGTGAGTGTTAGAGTTGTTTGGTATTGCTAAAAATCTCTCTCTGAGGGCCCAACTTCAGAATCGTGCTTTTTTGGGTTAGGGACGAGCGCGAAGGACCGATTGCGGTGAAGGACCGCAGGTTCCTGGGGTCTCGACGGGCCCCCGGGGGCGACGGGGGTGCTCTCCGGCCGCGGCGGCCGAAAACGGGGACCTCTATTACGGTCTATTAATGAAGTGATGCACTTGATGCAAGGGTGCCATTGTGCTCTACTACAAAAGTTGTGTAAGCTGCCCAAGTCTCAGACACTCAATCCTCAGCGGAGCTGAGTTCTGACGGTGTGAACACGAGCAACCGGAGTGACGACCGGGACCGGGCCGCACGCCGGGAGTGCCCCGACTAGCAGTGACGGGCGCGGATGAGTGAATGAGAGGTCGCTATCTGTGGGAGATGTGTTGTTAAAGACTAGGACTGCCTATCTCTCGCTGAAAGGAACCTCTCATTCGCTCGTCCGCACCCGTCACCGCTCACGGAGTGCTCCGCGTGCCGCACCGGCCGCCGCCGGCCGCCGGCCGCTTACGCGGTAACGGAACAGTGTTACTACTCCGCAACGTTGAGCTGGGTCATACTGAATAGTGCTCCTGAAAGCCCTCTCTCTGGGCTCTGCCACACAGTAGCAGCTCACGACTAGCAGCTGGTGTGGCTGTATTTGTAGCCATTTTTAGGCTTCAACTGGTCCCAAAATAGTAGCAACACCTCATGAAAATCAGTCAAAAAAGCCCGAAAAAATCGGCGCCTGCGGCGGGCTACCTGGGGCTGCGCCCCAGACCCCCTTGACTGGGGGGACCCCCCGCGAGAGCACCCCCGTCGCCCCCGGGGGCCCGTCGACACCCCAGGCGCAGGTTAGGGACCGATCGCCGCCGCTCACGCCAGCGGACGGTCTTCGTCAGTGATGTTAGCTACGCCACCGTCTACCTCGTGCGCAATGCGCTCGCCGGCATCGAGCGAGCAACGTGTTCGACCGAGCGGCTTGCTGTGCGGACGGCTTCTTGTGGCTCTCGTCGAGAGCGTTTTGCGGCCCGGCGGGTGGGAGAGCATGTGTCGTCTGATGTGTCACTGTGTACGTCATATCAGTCTTGATAACAAGTACGGTCGATCCGTCAAAGCGATACACTCGTCACGATCACGTTGGACGGCTTGCACAGAGCTCTGTGCCGGCACGCATCAGGAAGACCGCCGTACGGCAAGAAGAGCTCGATGGGGAGCGAGAACCGTCAGAGGTGCTCACGGAGGTTTCGGAAGTCCGCCATGGTGCGGTCAGTTCCCCCCAGGTTTGACTGCGTAGGTCGCGGAACTCGTTGAGTACTCGCAGCCTTTCTGCGCCTCCGTCTGGGCATATCGGCTGCTCGGCAAGAGCAGTCTTTCCGGAAGATATCGACGGTTTTCGAGAGCCACCCGCTTGGGAGCGATTGAGCGCGTCACGGAGGACTTCAGGTTACCCTTGAAGCTCCTCTGACGGTTCTCGCTCCCCATCGAGCTCTTCTTGCCGTACGGCTCGGTTCCTGTTGCTGGCACAGAGCTCCCGTGCCAGCCGTCCAACGTGATAGGAACGAGTGTATCGCTTCGACGGATCGACCGTGCTTATTATCAAGACCGATGTGACGTACACAGTGACACATCAGACGACACATATTCTCCCACCCGCCGGGTCGCAAAACGCTCTCGACGAGAGCCACAAGAAGGCGTCCACACAGCAAGCCGCTCGTCGGACAGGCGTGCTCGCTTGATGTCGGCGAGCGCATTGCGCACGCTTTGAACGGTGGCGAAGCCAAAAACACCGATGGTGGCCGTCCGCCGGCGTATGCGGCGGCGATCGGTCCCTAACCTGTCGCCCGCGGTCCCTAACCCAAAAGTGGTCCTTCGCGCTTTGGTCCCTAACCAAAAAAGCACGATTCTGAAGTTGGGCCCTCTCTCTGCACTCGAGTCGGGGCGGCGGCGAGCTCCCGGTGGCAAATACTCGCCTCACAGTCCAAGATGGCGGCTCGCGCCCCCGGCCGTGCTCTGGTGTGCCTCTCTAGTCCCGCGCCTTCCACCCAGATACCGAGGGCGGGGCGCACTCTTCGACTTGGGCTATTATCTGGCCTCGGGAGGGCGGCGGGGGGCAGCGGCGTAGAGGGGCGGCGGCGAGCTCCCGGTGGCAAATACTCGCCTCACAGTCCAAGATGGCGGCTCGCACCCCCAACCGTGCACAAGCATGCCTCTCTAGTCCCGCCTGCCACCCAGATACCGAGGGCAGGGCGCACTCTTCGACTTGGGCTATTATCTGGCCTCGGGAGGGCGGCGGCGGCGGTGTAGAGGCGGCGGCGAGCTCCCGGTGGCAAATACTCGCCTCACACGACAGTCCAAGATGGCGGCTCGCGCCCCCGGCCGTGCTCTGATGTGTTGCCTGGGTCGCCTCTGCTGCCTAGATATCCAAGGGCGGGCGAAAGCGCATCCACGGTGGACGGGTACGGTTGACTGCGCCGGTCAACCATAGTGCGCCTGGTCATGCACCTCTTAGGCGCCTCTAGTACACTGAGCGTGACCTGGGTTCGAGAGATTAGTAGTCCAGACGTTCCATGATACATGCGCCTGGTCATGCGCCTGGTCATGCGCCTAAATTCTTTTTCTTACTATGTAATTAATAATGGCTGGCGTGGTTAACTTCATGACCAAGCTAGCAGGTGCGTGGCTAGACGACGCGACGAACCTAAAGCTATTTGATTATATCTTCAAGCTGGCGTGGACTCCGACCACTCTCACAGACCGAACGTCCTCTCAGGGGGTGTTCGGTCCGGGAGCACCGTCGAGCCGTTACGACCCATTCAAGAGGACAAGGCGGGCACTGTATGGCCGAGCAGATTGGCGTGGGGGCATGCCCGCCGGCACACTTGCCGGCGGGCGCCGGGGTCTCTTCGGGTAGGGGGGTGTGGGCGTGACACGGAGCGTGACACGCCTGGGTTCGGCTCCAGTGCGCGGGATCACCTACCGTCGGGTACTTATTTTAAGACGAGGTAAACAGCAATAGATCCGGGTGCACAGTGCCGGATCAGTTCCTGGAGTCAGGGGGACCGATTCGCGCTTGCCAAGGGACCAATTGCTGGAAGCCCGCGCACGCGCGCAGCCTGCGCTCCGGCCGGCAGAGGGCTTGCGACCCGTGGCAGGGTGACAGCCCGCCGGTGGGCGAGCCAAACTCTGGCGGAGGCAGCCCGCTCAGCCCCAGGCGCCCCTCGAACCGGAGGGTGGTCTGCCGCCGCTGCGCGTTGGGCGCGCCGAGGGCGGGAGACATCAGCTTCGCGCCACAGGTGACCTGGGGGACCGATTCTCGGCAAGTTGGCAGGACGGGCACTGTGAAGGATCGATTGCTGTACAACGAGGGACCAATTCCGTGAGGGCTGGGTATCGATTAGGCCGCTTGAGGGCCGGATCTATTGCTGTTTACCTCGTCTTAAAATACGCGACGGTACCCGCAGGGAGGGCGGAACCCACAGTGGACGCGGATTCTCAGTAAATGCGCGACTTGCCCCTGCTCTGAGTATCGCACGCTCGAGCGCGCAGGTGCCGTGCATAGCAGTATCGCACGCTCGAGCGCGAAGGTGGAGCCGTGCATATATGCTGCACGCCCTCCTCTCTGCGGCATGCAGCTTCAAGCTCCCCGCCCTCGACCTCAAGCTCCCGTCTCCGTCTCTCGCGGAGGACGGCCGCTTTGGCGGAGGCGGCTACGCGACGGCGCTCCGGGTCTGTGCGGATGTGCTCAGCAGTCCCAACGACTCGGGCGGGTGGCGGGAGCTTGGGACGCTGCTGCACGGGAAGGGTCGGCTCGACGCCTCCGCCATGGCTCTCCGGCGCGCGACTCAGATCGAGCCGCTCGACTCTGAGGCGCACGTGGCGCTCGCCGAGGTGCTGCGAGCGGCGGGGCGGTTCGAGGAGGCCTTTGCCAGCCTCCGCACTGCCGAGGCGATCGACGGGCGGCCCAACCAGGCGCTCTGCTACGCCGGATACGGCGACCGCGGCGGCAGCAGCAGAGGCGGCGGCGCCACCTCCGCCACCGATGCGGTCGACTTTGACGCGCTGGCGCGGCGGGTCGGGGAGGTCTGGCTGACCGAGGTTGCGAGCGAGGAGGAGTGCGAGTGGGTGATTGCGACGGCGGAGGAGCACAACGCGGCCAAGGGCGGCTGGGCCTGCCGGCAGCCGCGCTTTGCTCCCGAGGGGACCGTCGCCAACGCGGTGCGCGCGCCCGACATGCTCGTCGCAGACGAGCCGCGGCTGCTCGCGTGGCTCAACGAAAAGTGCGACCACACGATCCTGCCCGCTCTCGAGGCGCAGTTTGGAATTCCGGCGCGCGAGCTCTGGCTGTACGACACCTTCCTGCTCAAGTTCAGCGGCACGCCCGGCGAGAGCGGGCCATTTGGTACACGTGGACGACGACCAGCTAATTCTTTTTTCTCGAACCGCATTTCTTTTTTAGGCTCGGGGTCCACGTGGACGACGACGGGTTCGGCCTCTCGTTCAACGTGCTGCTCTCCGACCCGGCCGACTTCGAGGGCGGCGGGACGCGCTTCCCGCCAAACGCCTTCAGCAGCGAGGAGGCGGTCTACACGCCGCGGCGCGGGCAGATGCTCTCGCACTACGGCGGGCTGCGGCACGCGAGCGTGCCATGCACGGGCGGGCTGCGGTACATCATGGTCGGCTTCGTCCGCGCGGAGAGGCTGGTCGAGCTGCGGCTCGAGGACGCGGCGTATGGCGCGAGAACGGGGGAGAGGTAAGGTAAGGTAAGGTAAACGTCTCCACACACACAAAGTGGTGGGGCAAGGGGGGGCGACCCTCGCATCTCCACGCCAACGGGGGAGAGTGAAAAGGCGTGAGTAGGGTGCCCACAGGACCCAAAAGAAAATAGCTTTCCGGCTCGAAATACGAAAAGGGACGCACGAGGCAAATCTGATGTTGGAGTGTTCTCTCCAATAGGAGCGAGGCCTCTTCCGTTGGGGGACCGAGTTCATAGGAAACGAGGGTTTCCCATTGTGTCCCGCTCCAGCGCGAGCGTGACACTGCACTTGGCGCCGAGCGCCCGCGGCTCAGACCTTGTGCAGGCCACCCCTCGGTGAGTGCACCGGTCCGGACCGTGGGCGCTCGGTGTGGAGCAAGCAAGACCCCCCCCCCCCCCCTCGGCGCGCGCTCGCCATTCCAACGGCCGCCAGGAGCACCAAGAGGACTCCTCATGGCTGCACTCAAGTGGGCTTCGACCGGCCTCGGCTGGGGGGGCGGGTTGTCCCGGCTGCGGACGCCTTCTGCAGCCCCCTGGGATGGGGACAGCACCCAAAAACTGCCCCTCGGCGGCATACAGCACTGCCAGCCAGCCTCTTCCTCCTCCTCAAGGGCTGTACTATAGGCCATATTGCGCCGCCTCCTACTGGCAGCCGGGCGGGCGCGCGCCGCGGGCGCCTCGGCGCGCGCACGGCTCGCAAAGTTCCAACGAGTACCCCCTCTACTCGGAGCTAATGAACACCACACTGCACGCCTCACACGTCACACCCCCACACTCACTCGCGCAGGCACTTGTGTTGAGTAGACCCCCCGCATGAGGGCTCACCCCCCGTCCTCCCAGGGTTCCGACCCCCCTTGATTCGTTCTCTTGCTCGTCTCACGAGCGTCATGCGACGGCCGGTGTGGCCGTTTCCCTCGCGTTGTTGGTGTCGCTTCCTCCGCTGCCGCCCTTCATCTCCGCCAGCTTCTCCCGGCTCCACCGCTTCCGAGGGCGTCGACGGCCCGGCCGAGGTCTCCCCGGGCGGGGGCGGCGGCGTTGGGTCGTGTCGCCTCCCCTCCCAGGGAGGTCGAGCCCGCTCTCCCTGGTCGGCGAGTCGTGCCCGCACTCGCGGCCTCTCTATCGTCCTCGGCTCGCCCCCCCCCTCCGCCGCTCCTCTCCAGGCTCGGGGAGGCGTGGCCCTCCCTGTCGAAGGTCGCGGTGGTCCGGTCGCCACTGCGACTGGCCTTCCCCCGGTGAGCCCGCACGTCCCGACTCCACTCTCAGAGGCCGCGTTAGCTCATCTCTCGCCTCCTCCGACAACTGACCCCAAGCCCCCCCTGGGGCCCCCCGGCCTCGGTTTTCCGGTTCGCCGGCGGGTCCGCTATCGTACCGCGGTAACTCCCCTCCCCCATCTCCTCCTCCCGGGTACACCAGCTGAATATCTCTTTTTTTTATTTCACGCTGGGCGGCGCTTCCAACGAGAGAGGACGACAACAGAGAGACGACAACGAGAGACGACAACGATCGGCACTCGTCCATGGATAGCCCGTACAAGGACGGGCTCGGCCGAGTGATGCCGACGGTCTTTGTTGCCGGGCCGGCCAAGTCCGGCTCCACCTTCCTCTGGGAGTGCCTGCACCAGTCCTTCCACCCGCAGCACGTGTGCGGCCGCGACGACGCGGCCGGTTGGTCGGACACGCTCTGCCAGCACCGCCGCTTCCTTCTTCCCGCCGTCGCTGCCGACGTCGCGCAGCCCGCCTGCCCGCGCTTCCAAAAGGAGTCCGCGTTCTGGCGCTGGTGGGGGCGGCGGCCATCGTACACGTGGGCGCGCTACGGCGGGCCTCGCCTCCCGCTCTCCTCGTGGGAGGCGAGAAGGGGCGCGTGCAAGAGCAAGAGGGGGCGGCCGCGTCCGGACGACTCGAGGCCCTTTCCCGGCCACCGCGCCCTCGAGGTCGCCTGCCTGCAGGACGAAGCGTGCCCGGCGGCGGGCGAGGGCGGGAGGGTGGGGTACGCGTCCCCGCTGCCGCCGAGCTGCCAACGCGCGTGCACTCCCTGCGAGCACCACCCCGGCTGGGTCGACAACTCGCCTTCGCCCTGTTCCGTGTCACCGTACCGCTGCGCCTCGCGCGTCTGCGCCGAGGCGCCAGTCAGCCAGTCAGTGTGACACCTCCCAGCATGCTATGCATAATGCCGCATGGAGGACGGGCCACACGCACACACACACGCTGCACACGATTGGCGCGGGGAGCCGACACGAGGCACGCTGTCACCGGCCGTAGCACCGGGTCAGGCGCCGTACGTGCCAAAGGCCCTGAGGCGGCTCAACTTTAGCGCGCACCACCGGCGCGCCTTCACGGCAGCTGCCTAGGCATATCTCCCCATATCTCCCCATATCTCCCCCCATCTCTCCCCATAGGCGCGCCTTCTCGGCGACTGCCTTCCCCTCGCACGCCGCCCTCGAGGCCGCCTCCACAGCCTTGTTAGATCTATTGAGAAGAAAATACGTCCGATGGCGCTATGCGCTGGCCTGTGAGAGGTTGAGGTGCGAGCCCTGGAGGCCCTGGGGATGGGGGGGGACTACCCGCGGGCTTAGAAGGCCCGCTCGCAGGGGGGTGGGGCATCCACATCGCCAAGAGCCTTCTCGGAGCCTTCTCGGAGCCTTCTCGCAACTCTCCTCAGGCCGCGTCCATCTCCACGAGCCGCGTCGCAGCCGTCGAGGGCAACCCCGGCATCTTCCAGACACCGCCCCGCCACGCGCGCGCCATCGAGGCGCATATCTCCCCATATCTCCCCGTATCTCCCCGTATCTCCCCGTATCTCCCCGTATCTCCCCGTATCTCCCCGTATCTCCCCGTATCTCCCCGTATATCTCCCCATATCTCCCCAGGCGCTCACCACCCCCCCGCCGGCCGAGGGGCATATCTCCCCGTATCTCCCCGTATCTCCCCGTATATCTCCCCATATCTCCCCAGGCGCTCACCACCCCCGCCGGCCGAGGGGCATATCTCCCCGTATCTCCCCGTATCTCCCCGTATATCTCCCCATATCTCCCCGTATATCTCCCCATATCTCCCCAGGCGCTCACCACCCCCGCCGGCCGAGGGGCATATCTCCCCGTATCTCCCCGTATCTCCCCGTATATCTCCCCATATCTCCCCGGGCGCTCACCACCCCCGCCGGCCGAGGGGCATATCTCCCCGTATCTCCCCGTATCTCCCCGTATATCTCCCCATATCTCCCCAGACGCTCACCACCCCCGCCGGCCGAGGGGCATATCTCCCCGTATCTCCCCGTATCTCCCCGTATATCTCCCCATATCTCCCCAGGCGCTCACCACCCCCGCCGGCCGAGGGGCATATCTCCCCGTATCTCCCCGTATCTCCCCGTATATCTCCCCATATCTCCCCAGGCGCTCACCACCCCCGCCGGCCGAGGGGCATATCTCCCCGTATCTCCCCGTATCTCCCCGTATATCTCCCCATATCTCCCCAGGCGCTCACCACCACCCCGTATCTCCCCGTATATCTCCCCATATCTCCCCGTATCTCCCCGTATATCTCCCCATATCTCCCCGGGCGCTCACCACCCCCGCCGGCCGAGGCAGGGGCATATCTCCCCGTATCTCCCCATATCTCCCCAGGCGCTCACCACCCCCGCCGGCCGAGGGGCATATCTCCCCGTATCTCCCCGTATCTCCCCGTATATCTCCCCATATCTCCCCAGGCGCTCACCACCCCCGCCGGCCGAGGGGCATATCTCCCCGTATCTCCCCGTATCTCCCCGTATATCTCCCCAGGCGCTCACCACCCCCGCCGGCCGAGGGGCATATCTCCCCGTATCTCCCCGTATATCTCCCCAGGCGCTCACCACCCCCGCCGGCCGAGGGGCGCTCCGCTTCGTGATCGGGCTGCGCGACCCCTTCGACCTCGCCTTCTCGCTCTGGGCCTTCCTCTCGACCCTCGGGCAGGAATAGGAGTAGTAGTAGTAGTCATACTAATCCTAGGAATACTCACACGAGTACTGGGCCTTCCTCTCGACCCTCGGGCAGGAATAGGAGTAGTAGCAATACTAATCCTAGGAATACTCACACGAATACTGGGCCTTCCTCTCGACCCTCGGGCAGGAATAGGAGTAGTAGTAGTAGTCATACTAATCATAGGAATACTCACACGAATACTGGGCCTTCCTCTCGACCCCCTCGGGCAGGAGGGCCGGCGCGTGGAGCTGCGCATGGAGCGCGCACTCGCCGCCATCGAGCGGTGCGCCGGGATCGCGCCGAGATCTCGCCGGGATCTCGCTGAGATCTCGCCGAGATCTCGCCGGGATCGCGCCGAGATCGCGCCGAGATAGAGCCGAGATAGAGCCGAGATCTTGCGGAGATAGAGCCAAGAGACGGGTCCTTGTGTGCCATCGAGCCGCTAGCGCCGTGGCGTTGCGGAAGCGATGCACCTTCATTCCTTCCTTCATTCATGTCACATGACATCGGCAGGTGCAGCCGCCCCCTCTCCTCGCCGGCCCTCTCCAGGACATCGTCCTGGACATGTCCGAGACATGTCACAGGTGCAGCCGCCCGCTCTTTTCCGACCCGCTCTTGCTGCTCCGCGCCTCTCCACCCGAGCTCGAGGCATATCTCCCCAGATCTCCCCAGATCTCCCCGGATCTCCCCGGATCTCCCCAGATCTCCCCATCTCCCCCTATCTCCCCCCCCCCCCATCTCTCCCCATCTCTCCCCATATCCCCCATCTCCCCCATCTCTCCCCATCTCTCCCCATCTCTCGCCCCATACCCCCCCATCTCTCCCCATCTCTCCCCATCAATTGAGGCCTCGCTCCCACCGCTCACCGGCCACCGGGCCTCCCTGGCACTCTGAATGCCGCGGGGAGACGCGAGGGACTAGCCTGGCCCTTGCCCCACCACCTCGTGTGTGTGTGGAGACGTGCACACCTTCTCTCTAGATCCCCACCTCACCTCAGGCCTACCGGCTGTGCCTCGACGCGCGCCCAACCTCGAGGCGGCTCTTTTGGGTCTTTGGCATATCTCCCCATATCTCCCCATATCTCCCCACATCTCCCCATAGGCAGCTCTTTTGGGTCTTTGGCGGCCTCTACGGCCTCCACCGCCTGCTCGGCTGGCTCCCCATATCTCCCGAAAGTTCCACGAATCTCCCCAAATCCCCCCATAGGCCTCCACCTGCTCGGCTGGCTCCGCCGCGGCTTTTCCCCCTCGCAGGTCTGCTCACCCACGGCACTGGGCCTTTTGCACTTTGAATGCCGTGCCAGCTCCTGCCCGCGTGTCCCGGGGGAGGAGATGCGAGGGTCCCCCCCCCCCCCCCTTGCCCCACCACCTCGTGTGTGCGGAGACAGTGTGTACCTTACCGTGCCTCACCTTACCTTACCTCTCTCCCTCCCAGTTCCTCTTCGTGCGGATGGCCTCGCTGCCGCGCGCCGCTGCCGACGTGCCCGCCATCCAGAAAGAGCTCGCCACCTTCCTCGGCCTCTCTCCGCCGCCAGCCGACTCGGCGCAGAGCGGCGTCTGCCTGAGTGCCACCATGATCACCTCGAAGCAGGTGATCGTCCGCGCACACAATGCATCCGTGCGCGACGTCAAGAGCGCGTTCCGCGCGTCGCCGACCGCGCGGAACCTCTCCGCCTTCCTCGCGAGGCAATATCTCCCCATATCTCCCCATATCTCCCCCCATATCTCCCCATAGGAACCTCTCCGCCTTCTTTGCGAGGCACGAGGCGCTGCGAACGGCGATCTTTGAGCGGGAGCGGGTGCGGGTGTACTGAGACAGACATTGACGCACTGCGCGAGACTCGGTGGCGGTACGTTGCCGGTTGATACTCACTCCGGGGTCCGGTGGGGCGGTGCGAGCAGGCGGGGCGGCGTGCAGCGCGGGTCTAGACTATAAAGGTGGCTATGAGTCAGAGACCTGTCTCGACTCTCTCGTCTGCCATAACACGGGGTCTCGGCTCTACCGAGCCATGCTAGCTCCAGCCGCAGCCCACCCGGCCGCCCAAGGGTGTTCCCGCAGGCAGAGAAGACCAATCCTGGGGGAAGTAACCGGCAGCGAGCGAAGTGGGTGAGACCTGGCGAGGTACTCCCACGCCTCTCGGGGTTTTTGTCTGGTCGAGTCAACCCGAGAGGCGAGAAGCGCCTCGTCAAGTCTGTGGGACGGCCGAGCCTCGTTCAAGGGGCGCGTGCGTGCGTCCCGTCGATGCACGTATTGGTTGGGGGCGCGACTGCCGTGCTGACGTGGCACTTGTAGGTGAGCCAGAACGACAAGTACACTGAAGCGCCAAGAAGAAAACGCACCGCCTACACCTGCAGGCATGCCGCCGCCCCGGGCCGCCCCACCACCATTCCTCCAAAAAAGCGCGCCGCAGCCGGTCGCGGCGGCGACGCCGGCGACGGCGGCGGCAAGCGCTCCAAGCCGTCCAAGCCCTCGAGCCGCGTGGACGAGCTCGCTGAGCGGTGGGCGGTGGGCAGTGACGGCGACGGCACCTTCGACGAGGCGTTCGTCGAGCGGGGTGGGCTTTTCGCACGCGAAATCCGCGCTGTGAGGCCCTTGGAGGCGGCCACCAGCTGCGCCACGCGACACGTGGCGGTAAAGGTGAGGTATCTGTAGTCTTGGTCCTCGTTCACGATGACGGAGATGCTTGCGTTCAATGCCGGAAAGAAGCCGTTGTGTGACCTGAAGGCATAAGTATTTCCCGCGTGCCCAAGGTAGCTGCCAGGGTCGTCGAGTGTCGGCAGCCGCTTCATTCGTGGGTTGACGGTCCTAACCATCAAGCCGAACCCGTAGGCGAACTCCCCTTCTGCCCATCCTCGCTCGAGCGGCTGGACGTCCCACATCGTTTTCAAGCTCGCGGAACTCACGATGTTGTGGCTGGGGCCCAGCAGCCGCCAATAGAAACCAGCGACGTCTTCTGCAGTGGCGACGACATTGCCGCAGGTCCAACCGAGAGGATCGACGCGTCTTGCGCGTAGAGCTCGGCGGTGCCATAGGCGTGGGAGGCCCCGGCCACGCTAAGGCCCACCTCATTGAGCGAGCCCTCGTTCGGGGTGAACGTTCGCGGGAAGAAGCACGAGGCCGGCAAGAATGTAGTTGGTGCTCGAGTAGCTTGAGCACATGCCTGGATCGCACACGAACGTGCAATTCTCGGCGAAATGAGTCCTCGCTGGGTTGCAGCCGTCCGACGCAGAGAACGCCGCCACTGCCCTCAGCGGCTCGAGAATAGAGTGCACGCTGCCTCCTGCAACCAGCAGCTTGTGATCGAAGCTGGGCACGTCATAGTCGCCGATGCCGGAGCGCATCGAGATCAACATTCGCCCGCCCCCCGAGCTCCCCCCCCCTGCCTCATCCGGGGCGCCATCCTCCTCCGCCCGCCCTCCCCGATCCCCCATCCCCCCAAACACGCCCCCCTCCTCCCCACCCACCACCCCCACCGCCTCCTCCTCAATCGGGTCCCTCCCCCTCTTCCTCCCCCGCTCCCCCGCGACGCCCCCCCTTTCCTCGTCCACGCCGCCCCCCCCGCCGCATCCCCCCTTCCCGTCCCGCGCCCCGAGCCCGGGCGCCTCCTCCCCGCACCCCGCGCACAGTACCCCCCCATTCGCGGAGAGCACCCCGTCCTCTTCATGCAGCCACGGGCTGTCCCGTCCATAGGCGTGCCGGAGGTAGAAGGTCGACAGCCCCCCCATGCGGGCCGCCGTCTCCACCGAGTCGGCCCTGGGCCCCCGAGGACCCCTCGGCTTGCCCTTATCAGAGCGCGGCTTCCTCTTGCTGGTGGCTCGAGCTGCGCAGCGTGGTGCTCGCCGAAAAGACCATCCCCCTCGTCCGCCCACTCCCTCCCCCCCTGTGTACGATTTCGGTCTCCGGCGGGACGTAACGGTCGCCTTCTCAATGGGCTGCTTCTCCAGTCGCGTCGAGCCCTCGACCGAGGAGCTGTCCGGCTTTCCCACCGCCGAACGCGACGCCCCGACGCCCGCTGACACCGCCGCGCCAACGCAGCCGGCCGCCGCCCTCCCCTCCGCCACCGATCTCGGCGTGAGCGAGGAGAAGCTGGAGCTGTGGCGCAAGCGCGGCGGCGGTGACCTGGAGCCGGTCCTCGCGAGCGGCGCCGTCGCCCTCCTCGACGCGCAGTGGATCATCAGCCACGCCGAGGCGGGCGGCGTCCTCACCCACCGCCAGGCGCTGCCCGAAGAGGCCTTCCTCTCCCTCGCCGACCTCGCCGACCTCGTCGAGGCGATCGACGAGTATGACTGGCTTCCCGTCGCCGCGCTCTCCTACCCGTGGCTGACCAAGGACCACCCCGACCCGCGCGGAGCCAACCTCACCCGCGTCGCAAGGGCGCTCAAGGCCCTGCTCACCTCTCCGTACGTCCGGCGGCTCGGCATCTTTTGGGACTTCGGCTCGCTGCACCAGCACCCCGACCCCGCCAACGGCGTCATGCGCTCTGAGGAGCAGAACGCGCTCTTCAAGCAGGGGCTGGGCTGCCTCGGCACGCTCTACTCCCACCCGTACACTTGGGTGCTGCGGCTGACCTCCTTCCCGGACGGCCACAAGGCGGAGGACCAGGCCGAGGGCACCAACGTGGCCGCGTACTTTGATCGCGGCTGGTGCTTCACGGAGCAGAGCTGGGCGAGCCTGACCAAGGACGGCGGCCTTTCGCTCGACCTCGGCTTGATGTACAACTCCACGGCTGCAAGGCTCAAGAAGTACAACTACTGGAGCCTCCGAGCCGACTGCACCAAGGGCGGCGGCCGGCGCCCTCCGCTGCTGCCGTCTGCGTTCGCGGCGGAGCTGGAGACGAAGAGCTTCACCAACGGCAAGGACGACAAGCCGCTGGTGAAGCGGTTGTACGAGGCCGCCTTCAAGGAGCAGTTTGGCAAGGCGACCTGGCTGAAGTACGGCATGCTCGGCTGGGGCGACGCGGAGGCGGCGCAGCTGGCGGAGGTCCTCGCGAGCGGGGCAGCGCCGCGGCTCGAGAAGCTCAATCTCCAGGACAACAAGATTGGCGACGAGGGCTGCAAGGCGCTGGCCGCCGCCCTCGGCAAGGAGGGGGCAGCGCCGCGGCTCGAGACGCTCTATCTCCACAGCAACCAGATTGGCGACGAGGGCTGCAAGGCGCTGGCCATCGCCCTCAAGGAGGGTGCCGCCCCGAGCTTGAAGGCGCGAGACGCTCCCACTCGCCACTCGCCCCCCTACCCCGCCCAATGCCTATCACACCTCCCCTCGCGTGCAGTTGCTCATGGTGGGCCGCGAGAACAAGAAGCAGCCTGAGCTGGTGGCCGTGTGCGAGGAGCGCGGCGTCAGGCTCTGCTGAGCCTCTCCAGCCCCGGCCGGGCGGCAAGGGCGCGGGGCCCGGGATGTGAGGTTGCCGACCCTGCACTCCAAGTGCTCCAAGGGTACACCCCTCTCGCAGAGTGCGCTTTTGTGTCTCCGCCACCGGCAGCGGCGCGCCCAGCGGCGCGCCGGCCGCCGGCGCCGCGTGGTTTCTTTCAACTTTCATGATTATCTTTTACAAATACGCGGTGCTATATCGCTACTATCTACGCCCCGCCAGCCGCCACGGGTGTCGGTCACACCTCGCACTCGACGCTCCACAATCTAGCCCACACACACAGCAACAACAACACACAGCGAGGACAGAACATGCCCCATGCACATGCATCCCCCGCACCCCCCGCGCCTCACCCCACCCCACCCCACACACCACCAACCAAGCACTCCTGCCGAACGCGGCACGTTCCCTCCACACAATCCACACGCCGAAGGAAACACAACGAGAGTCAGAGGAGAGCCGTCGAGCCGTGGCCCCGAAAGAGGGGCCACGCCGTGCGACCGCTCCTCTCTCAACCTCGCGCCTCTCACTGCCCCGCTCCACTTGAATCGAGCCTGCCGCGTCCCGAACACTCCGGGCCGAGCTCCAGCATGCGGACATCTCGGGGGGGCGCACTACCCTGTTGTGAAGCCTCTGGGGGGTGTCCTCGAGGGGTGTCCTGACCCCCCCTAGCATGAGGTGTGAGGGGAAGTGCGCCCCCCTCCCTGTAAGCGGCATGATTGTCCCCTCCGCCTGTGCTCCCGGCGCCTACGCCGTCGTCGACGCTGCCGGGGTATGCATAGGGGCGGAGAGGTCCCGCAGTGTGGTGAGGAGGTCATGCTGCATGCGCAGGTGCTCCTGCGCGGTAGGGTGGCGCGGGGGGAGGTGGCGGGCGGGTCAGAAAGAAAGGGGGGGGGGGGGGGTACTCAGGGGCCCGGGCTGGGGCTGGAACGGGGGGGGGGGGACGGGGGCCACCCCTGTGTGTGGTGCTCTGTGGGGTGGGCCGGGTTCTGCCCTCCTTTCGTGGTGGGCCCTCTAGGGTAGTCTGATTATTCCCAAGGATGTCCCTGGATCCCCCGGGTTCTCCCCGGATCTCCCCCTATATTGGCCCCGGAGGTCCCCTTGCAGTTTCCCCTTCAGCT